CTACTGTGGAGTAGGGACCAGAGCGGGTCAAAGATGGAGAGCAGGGGATTGGCCTTCAGGAGGTTGTGCAGGGTGAATTCCTAAGCTTGTGCCTCTCAGTTACTGCTCTTGGTACAGCAGCAATGTAAGAAACATGGATATCTAAGGCCAGGAACTAGCTGTGAGCATCACCTACCCTCAAGGTTCTGCTCAGCCCCATCTTTCACTGGGCAAAGCCAAAGAGCTGCAGAGACTGTACCATGGCCTAGAGATGGCAGTGGGCTTCCTGGCCCAGGCAGCTCTGAGATCCTTCACCACCCACCCTCCCTCCCTGTCCATCCCCCAGGGGCCCTCTCCCCTGTTCTTGCTGCCCCCCAAGTGCCCATGACCTCAGCAGCCAGACTGCACTGAATGGGCACTGCCTTCTCTGGGCTCAGATGTGTGTGCAGGAGGACACGCCAGTAGCCCTGTAGTAGGTGGCCTTGTGAATACCCAGGGTCATGGTAAAAACCTTGGGAAATAGAAAAAAGTAGAAGGAAGCAAAAGGATTGCTTGTAACTGCACTACTGACCCCCAATGTCCTAATAGATAGCCTTCGAATCTTTCTGTATCCCAGAGCTGGAGCAGAACTCTTGCAAAAATTTTGATTCCTGCATTTTTTAAATTAACATTATAACATTAGTCTGTTTTTGTGCAACTTTAAGGTTTTCTCAGATATCACTTTTCATCTCCCAAAACATTTTACCACAACAAATGCTCCTGTCCTGACTGCCCTCCTTAGTTTTACCACATTCTTCCTTGTGGGCACACAGACCATCAGGTAGCCTCACTGTCAGTCCATCTCTGCCTCTCCAGAGCTGAGTGAGCTAAGGCCAGTTACTGTTCTTCTGGACCTGGTTTTTTTCACACTGTGTTGTGAAGATTGAGCACCTACATGGATGGTAACACAAATCTCAGGTTGCTTGGTAGGACTGAGTTTCTAGAAAGAAGGTTGCTGGGTCCATGCTGTGACCATTTGGGGAGCTTGGCAGCCAGTTCTTGCTTAGTGGGGCCTCATCCAGTACTGATTCATTCAGCAGTTTTCTTTGAGTATCTACTATAGGTGATTGTTCTAGGTACTGGGCTTATAGCATGGATAGAAAAAAAATCACTGCTGAGGTAGGATTTAAATTTTAGCAGTGGTAGAAAACCAACATCAAATGAGGAAATAATAATGTATGTTAGAGGGTGATGATAGCTATGGAAAATAGTGCGGGTAGGAGGGGTCATGACATGAAGGGGCAGGGGGTGGAAGTGATTGGGAAGGCCTGACCAGGAGGTGACATTTACACAGTGATTCCAAGCAGGTAAGCCTGGGAGCCATTGGAACTCTTGGGGGAGGAATCTTCAAATGCATAGGCCCTGGTGGCAATGTTTCTGGTGTATTGTAGAAAGGGGACAGTTTAAGGTGTAGTGTGGGCCAGGTCACATGGGAAGAGGGAGATGCAGAAGCCAGAGGCCAGGAGCCATCCTAGGAGGGATCACACACTGCTGCTCAGCCCACATAGGCTCCCAGAGGAAACCTACGAGAGAATGGCAGCTCCATAAGAGTAGGAAGGTCCTGCTTGCTTCTGTATCCCCAACGCCTACACAAAATGCTTAGGAACCACTGGTGGACACTGGGCAGATGGAGAGTTGGCACTCAGCCACCACCCATACCACTCTGACCCCCAAATTGGTGCATGACTCCTGCAGATCTCCAGGACCCTCCCTGTTTTGGGCTCCTGCAGAGCAGGGCACGTGAGACACCTTATGGATGTAGTTTGCTGCAGATCCTTGCCCAAGATCTCCATGTGACTGGCCCCATGACATCTTTCCCCCATTCCAGCATTCCTCCTCAGAGAAGTCTGCCCTTGGCACATGGGGCCTGGCCTCCCTCCATTCCCAGGGACACAGTAGTTTTGTTTCCTTGATTATCTGGTGGCTATCTGGATTATCTTGTTCACTTGATTACTGTCTGCTCCTTCTCAGATTAGTAAAATCCATGGAGCCTGGGTTCTGGTCTGCATGTTCCTCACCAGTGTTTCCCAGTCCTGGAGTGTCCCCATATGTTTTTGAGTGAAAGGCCAGGGGCAGGTTGGGGGAACCTAGCATGGCTCAGGGCTGAGTGCCACTGAATCTGGTAGGTGTGGGCAGCAGCTCCAGCCACCCAACACTGTGACCTTTCCTTTACTTCCCTTTATTTGCCACTGGCTAAGGGGCAAAAAGCCACTGTGAACAAAGCAGTTCCCAGTGACATTTGCCCAAATCCAAACAGCCCAGTAGCCTTGGCTGACAGGTCTGTATCAATCAGGCTTTCTAGGCATTGTGTCCAGGCCACCCTGGAGTCGAGCAATAGTAAACAAGCCTGACCATCACAGAAGAGCAATTAAATGTCTACATTTTCACCAGTGCCAGATAGACTTTCTAGCTCTGCTTGCTTTGGGCAGTGGGAGGTATGCACTGTATGTAACGAGAGCCATCTCAGGCAAGATGGGCTGTGATTGGGCCATACCTGTCTCTGAGCCAAAAGCAGACACTGAGGAGCCCCCTTCCTCTTCAGCCATCAGACCTCCTGGCACTAGAGGGAGACAAGCCATTGGTGCCATTTGTCAGTGTCTGATGCCAGCCACCTTCTCTGTTTGCAGAAAGAAGGCCAGGGCTTGTATTCAGAGAGTCAGATACCTGCAGGCCTGGCACTTGCTTGTAGGGGCTAGCCCGGTGCGATTCCCATGCTTCCCACCCCAATCCAGAGGCATGCAGACCAACAGGGCGTGGAGCCTGTGTTTAGACACCCTGCTGCCTGGCAGGAGGGCACCTCCCCTTGGTACAAACCCCCAAGGTCCATAGCATCCTGGAGCCCCATTAACATCAGCTGTGTGCCCCAGCCTTCCCAGGTGATACAGGCTTTGCAATAGCTGGGAGTCTCACCTCTGCCTGTGGAGAAGACGACGGAGTCCCTCCTGCAGTGGGCAGGGCTGGTGCTTACCAACTCTACAGGTGTCCCTTGAACCAGTCTTCTGCCTACCTTTTTAAATGTCCAGGAGCTGCAGGGCCAGTATAAGATGCTCTTACAGCTCGCCTGCAGAACCATTTTTAGGAATCTGCTTAAGGTGGACTCCTCCTGGAGTGATGATGGGCTGGAGGGCGGTAGTCTGCATTTGCATCAGATGCAAGCCCAGGGATTAAATCCTGGCTCTTCCTGGCTCAGTGTGGGGCCTTGGGTGAATCACTGCCCTCCTTGAAGCTCCAATTTCTCACCTGCAAATTAAAGGGACTGCTGAAATCTTCAACAAACGTGCATGGAGTACCTGCTTTAAGCCACAGCTAGCCTACCTGCCCCTGCCACCCAGCATTCCTTGTCTGGTTGAGGCACACCAGACCAAGGTCCTCTTGGCATTTAAGCCTGATGCCCAAGCTACATGGCTGTCTTCTCTTCAGAGCTAGCACCCAGGCAAGTCTGGGTTCAGGAAGGAACCCCATCAGGTGCCAGCAGACACAGTAGCACATGCAAGGCAAGGGGCCCTCTTCCTTGGGCTTATCTCCAACTTCCTGCTAGTTCTAGACACAGCTTCTTGAACCACTGGCAGATGTAGCCCCTCTCAGCAAATCAGTAGTGCCCTCTCTGGGGGATTCAGAGGTCTACCAGGACCCCTCATTTGAGAAGCAGGGTGTGGGCTGGGCTCCACGCCACTTGCCCCTTACCATATTATGAAGGCTTCATACCCAGCTCCCCCAGTAGAAGTCCCAGGCACTGCCACCCATCAGGCGTCCCTGTCCCATGTCCATCTTATGCCCCATCAGCTCAGCCTTGCCACAGACCTGCCGGCTTTCTCCCACCAGGACCCCCTACTAGAACTGTGGTACTTACAGAAGGTAAGCAGTTCATTCTAGGGCACTCCATTGATGTAGAGCTGAGTGGGGCCTAGCCTCTGTGCTCAGGGCCAGCCAAGTGACCTCAGCCAGGCCAGTAGCCCACAAGGAGGCTGCACTGTACTTCCATCAAGCAGATTCCTCATAAAAATAAGCCCCCAAGGAAGTATAAGTACTGTAGCCTCATATTTCAGGATTATTGGGGCAGGAAATAAAGGGTGTTTAGGGAAGAGGGAGCAGTACATGCAGAGGCTCAAGTGTGACAGCAGCCCAGGAACAGTCCTGAGTTCCTCGAGGCTACAGGGAAAACACCAAAATAGTGGTGGCAGGGCTGAAAGAGTTGGTTAGTGTGGTGTCAGCAAGAAGCATGTTTCTGCTCAGTAGTTTGACTGGAGGGAGAAAACAGAGGGTCTATACCAAGGCATGGGCAGGCAAAGGAGCAGGTAAGACATGGTGTGAAGGAGGGAGTTCTGGGGGTAGGGGAACAGTATCTTCCAGTGCCCGGGAGAAAGGACCCCCAGTAGAAGTTCTGTTGATCCCAAAGGAATGGGGTCAACACCCTAGCTGTTCTCTCCTCTCGCCTTCTGATCTGCTAGTGTTCCCATTGGCTAAACCCACCTAGAGGTCAGAGGGCACTGGAATCCACAATGTTGGCAGAGATCAGCCTCCCAGGCCACAAAGGGGGGGAGAGTGGAGAACACCTAGGCCAGTAGGCCTCAGTTTCAAGGTGTGGGTCTTAGCATGAGTATGCTGGGAAGGAACAGAACCATTTAGAACAAAGGAAGGACATGGCCACTGGGTATGGGGTTGATCCCCATGGGGACCTGAGTGCAGGGTGGATAAGTGGGCGAGGGACCAGGAGACTAAGATGGGAAGCACTGCTGAGCTCTAACTTGGATGGACCGGTGCCATGGACTAGTACAGGGGGAAAGTTAGCATGCCTGGATTTAGGTGACAAAATGGACCATAGACCTCAGGGATCCATTGTCTGGAGAGGGAAGCAGAAGGGATGTTGGGGTCCTGGCTCAGCATGAGGGAGTGTGAAGGTGGGCCAGTATAGGTGCCCATCCAGGGTAACAAGTGTGCAGACTGAGTGGCAGAATGACAGGCTTTCCCTCTGTGCCTTGCAGGTGGCCTCAGCCCCGAGTCCAAGAAGATCCTGACACCTTCCCTCAAAAAGCGGAGCCGGGCCAGTGGAGGGGAGGTGGCCAAGCAAGAGGAGGTTGTGGAGCGCCCAGAGACCACGCAGCATGTCACACTCAACTTGTCTTTTAAGCGTTACGTCTTTGACACCCACAAGCGTATGGTCCAGTCTCCCTGAGTGACCCCAGGACCACCTTGCCTGGGCCCAGGCTGGGCCCAGTGCCAGATGCCCAGTTAGATGTGCCTCGACCTCTTACAGTCTCCCCCCACAGCTCTATAGGCAGCAAGCCCCTAGGCCCAGCATTCAGCCCCAGTGGGAAGGCCAAGGGCCAGCAGGAGGCAGGGTCCTGTGAGGGGACAGCACCCAAGGAGGAATGGGACTCTGCTAGAGAACTGGCTGCCAGTATCTCCCAGGCTGCCCAACTGATGGTAACTGAGGGCCACTCCCCACACTGCCCCCTTCAGTAGCTGGACACTTGTCCAGCTTCAAATAAATGTCTCATGGTACCCCCCACTGCTGGTCTCTGTGATTTCACATAAGGATTCCCCTTACCCTTTGCCACCCAGGAGTGTCGGGAACCACCAGGGCTCCTGTCAAGAGTTCTGGGAGAGAGACCCAATTCAGAGCCCAGTGGGCTGAGAAGTCCACAAGATGTTGGGCCCCTAGACTAGACTGAGTGGCCCCCAGGGTCTCCTGGGCCTTCAGGGGCACAGAGGTTCTCTGGGCATCCAACTCCAGAAAAGACATTCAAGGGGTGTCAGGGAGCAGTGGGGTACTGGGCCAGGGTGCTGGGCTGGAGGGGTTGCTCATTCATCTGGACTGTAGGAGTCCCTATGTCTCTGTCCTTGAGTTTGGGGCACCTACTCTCCCCAGAGTGTGGTGATGAGGGCCAGTGACAGCCCTGAACAGATCATACTATAGGCCAAGGCATGTGAGCATTGCCCTTGCTCTTCTGCCCCCCGAACCCACAGGCCACCCCACCTTGAGGCCCAAGCTGTTGATATGCAGAAAAGGGTGAAATCGCAGAACTGACTAAGGGGAAATCAAAGCTTTTCAAAACATCCACAGGATGGACAGATGTTCCAACATTACTTTATTTGGCCTCCAGATGGAGAAGCTACCCTTTTATCCTGGTAATCAGTGCATTACACTTTGATTTGCAAAAATGACATTAAAAGTAAGAGCAGGAAGAGGTTTTAATCAAATGACTTGGTGGTGTTAAGTCCTAGAGCTTCAGACATAAAGGAAAAAGGGAGTGGTGCTACAAAGCACAGTGGCTAACAGCAGGCAGCCCTCAGTACACACAGCAGCGGGCAGGGCAGGGCCCTTTGTAAAAGGGTGCAGGTGAAGGTGGCTGGCTGGTGACCCTCACTGGCCCTATAAGGGACCTAAACGTCAGGCAGGAAACAGCAGTCAAGGGCAACAGCTGAGGGCTAGATGGACAGGGTGTGCCCAGGCCCAGCCCCTTTTCCCCCCTGTGCTGCAATGAACCAGGAGGAGAGTTTGAGGAGAGTGAAGCAGTGCCCTGACCACAGCTCCTGCAGCTGCTATGGGGGACTCCCCAGGGATTTGACTCTCAGATCCTGAGAGCTCCATTGCCACCACCTGAGAAGACATTTCCAATTACTGCAGTAGGGCCCTGACCAGTGTGGCTCAAGTGAGAAGTCTCCAATTCGATTTCTGGTCAGGAGCGCTTAAGAGAGGCAACTGATCGATGTTTCTCTCACACATCGGTATTTCTCTCCCTTTCCCCTCCCTTCCCCTCTCTCTAAAAGTAAATAAATAAAATCTCTTTCAAAAAGAGCAGCGGGCCCTATTGTGTGGCCCTCCCCCTACCACAGGCCAGGTTCTGGCCCTCTTTGTGTGGCCCTGACCCATGCACTGAAGAACATCTCCTTGGACAGATTGATCTCCTCAGGGAGGCAGTGGGCTCTCAGGGAGGACTCCAGGACACGGTCCTGCAACTCCAGCCCAGTCTATTCCTGGGGGAGCAGGAAAGACCTTTGTGAGCACCTATGGTACCAGGTCTTAGTCTGGCCACCTCCCATGGTCAATCAGCCCTTTAGAATGAACTCAGATGGGTAGAGCTGGGGTCTCTCAGGACTTTCCTGTTAGATGAGGAAACCTCCATCCACCATAATCCTTAGCATATGATGGATTGAGACCAGAGCCTCTAGAATCCCACCCAACCCAGGTCAAGTCCTCCCTGACCAAGGGTGTGAGGCTAACCCCTCCATCTTCTGGGGAGCCCGGCAAGTTGGAATAGAGAGTAGCTTTGGCTCAGCTGAAGGCCCCTGCTCTGCATGAGCTATATGATCTTGGCCATATCACTGTCTCTCTTTTCAAGGGAGGGGCATGTGACTCAGTGGAGCCACCACTCCTAGCAGTCCTAGAGGGGTGCTTAGTAAGCAGGAGCTAGCTCTGGAACAGATTCGTGGAGGTGGGGATATGAGACACAGGACGGACTCGAGCCACTGCTGGGTTAGTCCTGGCCCTTTTGCTTACTAGCCAGGTGACCTTGAGCAAGCCCCTAACCTCTGTGCCTGTTATGCCCACGTACAAAGTAAGAATAAAAGAAACTGTTCAATGGGGTTATCCAGTCACCTGGGCACAGTACTGGCCATCATATTACACACAGTTTCCTCACTGAGAGATGAGGGGCCTACAAGCCTCTCAGGAGCGGTATAGACAACCCCAGACCCAGCACTGCCCATTTTTAACAGGATCTCTGTGCAGGTCCCCCCATTCCTTTGCCCCACTTCACACCTGTCCTGAAGAGAGCACTCCTCAAAGCCCAGGGAGGGAGGAACAGTCTGGTGGAAGAAACTAAGGTACTGAAGGGAAGAGAGAGCAGCCTGTGGCTATGCCGTAGGAAGGGGCCTCCCAGAGTATGCAGTGAAATGGCCTTTGGTTTGGCCCACTGCCCTGGGAGCGGTCCCTATTTGGCCTGGGGTCCCTATTTGTCCTGGGATCCCTTAGAAGGGAATGCCTGATAGGGCTGGTAGGCAGGGTTAGGGTCAGGGTCAGCTCCCAGTGTTCTGAGGAATGTGTCCCTTTCCCCTCAGTATGCTGTGATAAGCTCCTGCAGCCACCATCATATGCATAAACTCACTGAAGCTGCTATAAGGGTGGCCTTTGAAGTACCACTCTAATTTTTCAGATTAAGGCCAGCGTGGGGGGATTCTTGGCTGTTGCAGCCATTGATTGCCCCAGGTAGAAGTGAGATTTGAACCCAGGTTCTGAATGACTCCAGAGTCACCACCACTTCCTCCCCCAGGTCTAGTGCCTTGGATGTTTGTGTCCTTGCAACAAGGTGCCCTTTGGAGCCCTGCTTTGGATTGAGGGGTGAGGGGGTGGGCCAAGGCATGGCATTGCTGACCCATGTCCTGCTCTCCAACCTTCCTGCCCAGCTAGAATGAAGTCATGGGCAGGCATCCTGCCATAGGCTGGGACAGGAGGGGCCCCTGTGATTGGCAGGCCCCAGACCAGCCAAGCTAATGCACTAGGAATGAGATAAGGCTTATCTGGAAATGTCCCTGGAATTGAGACTCTGATGGAAACAGAATTCTGGGTTAATATATTTTTGATAGATAAAGTCTTGTAAAGGGGAAGTCCTAGGAGCCCAGGCAGAAGCAGGGGCAGCCTCCGTTTTCCTGGCAGTGCACATGTGTATGTGTTGGTGTGGGGCATGTAGGTTGGTGGTATAAGTGTTGAGGTATGTAGGGGGTAGTGGGTATATATGGGTATATATGTGAATCCCCGTGTCCCAGGTACCTGTGTATGTCTGGATGTGTGTTTGGATCTTGTCTCTGGGTGAGTATGTGTATTTGTGCGCACTCAACAAAAGTTTGTCGGGCTGTGTGTCTCTGGTACATCTGTGTGGGAGGAGGGTGAAGGAGAGGGGTCTAGTATGCATAGGGAGGTGATGTGTGTCCAGGGGCAGTTTGTTCTTTGGGATACAGGCTTGCAGGTTGGTGGAGCCTCCTTCTCAGGACTTGATGGGATGGGAGAGGGGCTCCTACCCCCATTCTGCAGACCCAAAGCCACCCTCAAAGTGGTCACAGACCCTCTTGGTGCTGGCTTACCCTTGGGTTGATTCAGGTCTCAGGCCTCTCAGCCTTCTCTGCCTGGGCAGCCTCCACATGGGATTTAGCTTTCCAGGTTCCTTTCCAGAGGCCAAGGCCAGCCCCACTCATGGCCTCCTAGTTGCTAGTTCAGCCATGTCTGTTGTCCATGGTTGTGACTGGAGTGAGGGATGGCTGGCTGCAGGCCCAGGGGCCACTAGGACAAGGTCTTAAAGAGAGAGATGGAGTTTGCCACCGGGGAGGAAGAGTGATGTTCTGGCAGAGAGAAGAGCAGGAGTGATGGCTCTAGCAAGAGCACTTGGTGGGACCTGCAAGGAGAGAGATAAATGAGTTATTGGCTTCCAGTCTCCCCTCCAGCACCTGCTAGGCCCCTCAGAGCCTCCACACAGGTGGCCCTCATTGAAAAAGAATAGTTACCCCTTGGCTAATAATGGAATCCAGCAAGCCATTAAGTAGCCCAGTTCAGGCAGCACCGGGAGGCAGCACAGGCAGCTGGGGTGCTGGTGGAGCACTGTGCTCCCCGGGGGCAGTTGACCCTAGCTCTAGGCTTTCAGGGGTCTACTGTGCGAGCCCAGTGCCTCAGCGGATTACCAGCAGTAGAGGCAGCTGTGGAGGCAGGATGGTTAGGCAGAGGCCTTGAAGGCTGTAACAGTCCTAAGGGCACAGGTGGGAAGACTATGTCAGTCAAGATGTCAAGAGACCCTTTGGCCCCCAACTTCCCACTAGCTCTAGACACTCAAACACTGACTCTCTAGGGCCTACCAGAGAGGCAGAGACTGTGGGTTGGACAAAGACCCCCCAGAATTGGTTGGTGATTGGCCAAGTGAGAAGGGAGGGGGCAGTTTAGGTTAAGGCCCTGGAGGAGGAAGACGACATTTGGGAACGAGAAGAGGACATTTGGGAAGGTTTGGGGATTCAGCATAAGGGCGGAACATGAGAGTTAAGATGGATTAGAGAAGAGGCCCATAGTTGATTATTCCACATTTACTGAGTGTCACCTGTGTACCAGGCCCTGGGGTCACAGCCCAGTGCTCACTGGATGTAGCTGGGCCCCCTCCCCCTGCACTACCAAGTCTCATGGGTGGCCTGCAACCCCTGTGCCCAGGCAGCCTCCTCTGCAGCACTGCTGTCAGGCAAGAAGGGTCTAAACCCTACCCCCAACCCTACCCAGGCCAGCAAGTCAGAGGTCATGTGCCTGGAGTCTCCCCATGTGCCCTACTATAAGGTGTTGCTCAATCCCTCCACACCACCCACCACCACATGTTATCACCAGCTCTGGTGGGGAGACAGCACAGTGCAGAAAAACGGCCACTTCCTGCGGCCATAGCTGGGGCTCCAGATAAAGGCTAGCCAGAAGCCCAGGCCAACCTGGGGAGGCTAGGATAAGGGACCAGTTTCAGCCACCCAACTTGCCACTCAAAGGACACC